ATAATGTGATATTTACTATATTAATATTAAATTCAAATCAAAACATATTAAAATTAAAATATGGATAATATTGAACAGTTATATTTTAGAAAATTAATCGCAACTTAAAAATCAACGTCAAATAAATAAATAATTAGAATAAAATTTATCAATTTGAATGATTTTTATCAAAAATACTGATAAAAATTAATTTTATTAATAATATAAAATTTATTAACATATATTTACCAAGTATTTTGATTAATTAAATCATTAACAGTACTTAATTTCTTAAAATTAATAGGCTTATGGTATATTTTTGTTCATAAACTATTCTCTAAGAAACATCCGGTGTCTGAAACTATTTGTCTTAACAATTTTGTTCCTAAAATAATTAAAAACATATTTGCCTTTAATGTTAAATACCTCAACGTTGACTGGAACTTAAATTTGAGAGAAGATGCTACCTATCATACCAAGTAGATTCAATTTAAGGTATATTTTTGTCCTTAAAATATTATTCAAAGAGCATATATTGTCATAAACTATTTACATTATAACAATTTCACTCATAAATAATTAAAACGTAGCAAAAATGTACCTTAATTTGGATTCACTTAACATAACAAGTGATATTTTTTTATGGTCAACATTGAAGATGAAATTGCTACAATAAATAATTTTTTATGGTCAGTATTTTTTATGGTCAACATTGGGGTATTCAATGTTAAGAATAAATATACTATATTTTAATTACTTTAAAGATGAAATTGCTACAATAAATAATTTAAAATATTGGTGTTCATCAATGAACAGCTAAGAAGTAAAAATGCATGCACCTTAACCCAAATTAATAGCATATATGGCTGTGACAGCTTAGCCGCAGGCAAGTATTTTTCAAAAATAAATAAAATAACATCAAGAATCAGTTTGTATAAAAATTATATGTATATATATTTTTTTTTTGGGTAAGTATATAGGCTCTGTCAATATTAGAAAATATTTCCCACGAAATATAAGCAAGACATTGTCATTCAAGAGAAGCTGGGCTTAGCCCTCACGGTTCAAATTAGGCTCGGCTTTAAGTGAATGTTAATCATATATTAATATTAATATTATTAATACAAAAGGTATAAAAAATGATTTCAATTATAAGCCATAAATAAGATTTGGATAATGTATGTTTGAAATCCGTGCAAAAAACTTAAGCGCCACGCCTTGCCCTAACAAAAGAAAACACCTTGCTTGAATGTCAACCTCACATTTGTCCTTTTGATTGTAATTCTCTTGATTCAATTATATATATCTCCTTACAGATTGTAAGAAAGCTAGAGAGGTATTGCTAAAACTAGTCAAATAATATGAATTAAACACTTTTTTTTTCTTTACTTACAAGATTGAATAATTTGAAATGTAAAAAAAAAATGCGGATGATGCTAAAGCAAGGAATGTTTTTTGGTAGAGACTTTTCAAACATGTGTGTTGCAACGTCTAGAAAGAAAGATGCAAATGCATCTACTCTAAGGAAATCATGCCTGACAGAGACATTGCATTCACTAGCATCTAGAGCATTCACAATGATCAATACTTTCAATCTAAAATCAAGTTCTTGACCCAATAAAGTAATAGATCTAAAGCAAAATGGTGTTCTCCTAAAAAAAAAGTTGGGTTAGACTTAATACAGATGACTCCCTTAACAATCAAGGTGCGGCTTCTTATAGAGGTCTCATCAGGAATGATCAAAGAAATTGGATCAAAGGCTTCACCAAATACATTAATTATCAACCAAGTACGGCAACTGAACTTATGAGCATCTTAGAAAGTCTCAACATTTGTTGGAAAATGAAGTTTAGCAAAGTCAATGTCTACATAAACTCTACAAAAGTTCTCATACTTATATGCAAAGAGTTATTCACTAATCATCCTCTTACAGTTGTTATCAACAATATCAGAGAACTTATTATGAGGCATTGGACGATTACTTTTGACCACGTTTTTAGAGAAACTAATAAATGCACTGACTAGATGGCTCATTTGGCATTTATCGATAATTTAAATGTTTAAATTTTTGATAATTCACCCTCTGGTTATATAAATATTTTATATGCTGAAAAGACTTAAGTTGTCTGTCTGCACAGGTTAATCTCGTGGCCTTTTATTAAAAAAAAAAATGTCAACCCCACACCACCCCATAGGTTGGAAGAATGAGGAATCAAGTGCACCGTTTTTAACATGACAATTATGGCCTTACTATTCGTCATAATTACTAGTTGATGAGCCGCGTTCTTTCCTTCGATGGCTCCGAAGAGGCAGGCCATCTGATATTGATGTAGTTATGCTTGGACTTTTTTCTCCTTTCGAATATTTTTGAACAAAATAAGTAAATTATCTTTTAAATTTAAAATTCAATAACACTATAGATCTTGAAAACTTAAACTTATTTATTTTATAGAGTATTCCCTCAACTTTTCAAAAATTTTTGAATAAATAAGTAAATTACTTCATAAATTTTAAGTTTTATAAATTTTAAACTTATGTATTATATGAATTATTTTTTCAATTTTTTAAATGGTATAACCTGGCCTCTATCATCAACAAAATTGTGATTAAATAATTTGATATTGATGTTCAAGGGTGTAATGTTCATATGATAAAATTTGACAGTGATAAATATGAAATATGATTATCAAAATTTAAAGTATGAGTGATAATTTCAAAGTCTAACTTTGGCGCATCAATTTCAAATTATTTAAAAAACGGTGATTTCTCCCACTGAATAATCTAAAACGTGACGGTGCTGATATATTGTGTGGTTTTTTTTTTTTTTTTGGCTAACTGGTCAGCATATTCTTTTAGTGGATAAGACGCAATACATGTAATGAGTGTTTGATTGGAGTAATGACAATAGCACACGCAAAAGCAACCTCCTAATTTACTAAATGCTGCTTCATACATTTTTTTAAATACATGTAAATAACTAAATATAGATGGACCAAACCAAACTTCTTTGTCAAACTAAAAAAAAATATTTAAGTACTCTCACCTTTTTTTTCTATTGCAAGAGAAATTGTCACATGTCTCTTTGTTCTTTTATTATGAATAAATTATAAATTTTAAAAAGTATTTATCACATTTTTATTAAATTATCTTTCATAAAGTATTTTTATGAGAAAAACTTGGTTCATTTTTTTTAAAACGGAATATTATCTCTTATAATCTAATTTCATAATACATGCTAATTATTATACTTAATCAATTTTTGTGAAGATATTTTATTATTTTTCTCTTATATAAGGAATATTATATTGTTAGTCCTTTAACTTTACACAAAGTCTCAAAGTCTCATTTTAATGTTTTAACATTGTTATTTTCATTGGCAAAAAAAATATTTACATGTTGTTAAAATTATTTACAAGGGATTCTATATCAAATTTTTTAACAATATATTTTCCTTTCAATATGCACAAGTAAAATGAGTTACTCTTTCACAATATAATAAATTAATGTTTGAATCCCATTAAGGAGATGCATACATTTAGTGTATAATTTTGCCTCAACGAATAGGACTGACTCCATTATGAGAACACTTATGCACAAAAAAAAAAAAACAAATAAAGTTATCCATCATACATCTTGTTGTGATGTATAATTTTAGTAGTGTTCATAGATAGGAAAAAAACTTTATAACAAATCAACAAAACAAACTTTTAGCCATATATTTAAGTGGGCTTGGGTTAAATTTTATCTAACATGAACATGGCCACTTTTCCCATGGAAGTCAAACCAAAGTCTCAGTCAGAAAATTAAAAAAAAAAAATTGAATTATAGGCATATTACTGTATTAATATTCCAAACAATAATCAAACAAAATGTTTGAGACTTTGAGTATATCGCCGTGAAAATAATATAATAATTAGACCTTGAATCTACACAGGTTAGATTCAACTACTCTAATGGTACAAAAATGAAGGAAAAGGCATTGAGATTTATATGAATGCAGATTAGTTACCTAATGCATAATTAATAACTGCATACAGTATAGCGGTTTATAGGTAACTAGTTTGAAATAAATCAACGAAGCTCATGAAATATATAGCTGAAAATGAGATCAAACTCATTCATTGTGTTTCCATATTCTTACACAACACAAAATCAAGACATATAAAGCATAAATCTAGTCTCTCTCCTTGCTAAAATATGGACATTCTTTTATTTTCATGAAAGCTTTATTTTTCACCTTTACGACTTATAATTTCTTAAGCCAAAGGCTTTAATCACAAGTAGAAAAGGTTCATTGAATTTTTTTTGTTGAATTTTTTTAAAAAAGCCATTTTTAATAATAACTTGTCAATTTTTTTTTACTTTTATACATGCTTAAAAAAATAAACACCTTATTTTGTTTCTAAACATATGATTTTATAAAAATACAATATATTTTTTTAAATGTCAGTAGTTATGGTCAAACATTTTTTAATATTTTTTTTAAAAATGGAAAAAAACATGAGTATAACAAAAAATGTTGAAAAGAAAGTTCAGAAAAAATAATTGAATTAAAAAAAATATTGACAGGGCCACAATACTATTAATTCTATTGTTCCATGAACAGTAAATTTTATTATATTTTATTTAAGTACCTTCTCACACAAAAACAACTAACTACCTTATTTAAAAATGTAATTGTTCGAACAAAAGGAGAATAATGACTTCTCATTTCTCAACATATGGAGGAGATGCAGCTGACAAAAGGAGACAGAGTCCAGAGCCTCAATGTACCAGTGGGGTTTAAATGAAAAAATGAACAAAAAACTAAAGGGGAAGGACCATTGTTAAAGATTACAGTGATAAGGTACGGGGTTAAAACATTTAACAGAAAGGAGTGAAAAACCAGATTTCGGAGTTTGGAGTGTGCCGGCCCAGGAATGTTTGTTTTATTTTACTTTTATTTTATGAAATGAAATAGGGCAGTACAAATAAAAGCAAATTACAGGTATGGGACTAGCTGATAGCATAGCAGGTTCCTAACCTCTGCTATTGGTAGTATAAATAAAAGCGAACTGCTTTTCATGCCCGGCAATTCAGTCGATGGCTGAGTCCTCGTCCACTGGTCATCATCTTCTTGTGTGAATGACAGTGAAAATTACGTTGCTTGGAATTTGGGAAAGGATCTGGTTTTCGGTTTTCCTTGTGGAGGCCCATTAGTCAAGCATCAAGAAAAGTTATTTATATATAGGAGAGCAAGCCCTTCACGTCAGCACGTAGTCCTTAAGATTGAGTCGAAGGGGACGCCTGTATCTCCGAGATTCTTGTTCTTCTTCTCCGGCGAAGGAACGGGAAAGTGCAGAGCGAGACATGGCTTCCTGGAATTCAGTTCCACTCGAACTCGCGTACCAAGCATTGGGTTGGTTCGCTTTTTCCTGCTGGTCCATCAGCTTCTACCCTCAAGTCTTCTTGAATTTTCGCAGGAAAAGGTACCCCCAGAGAAAATTTTCTCTTCTTCTTCAACCTTATACTTTCTCTACTATTTTCTCTGCAATCCTAGCTATATTTTTTCCTTAATTTTTTGGTGTGTTTTCTCAGTGTTGTGGGGCTCAACTTTGATTTCGTGCTGTTGAATCTGACAAAGCACTCTTCCTATCTCATCCACAACGCCTCTATGTACTTCAGTTCCGCTGTTCAGAAGCAGTATATTGAGGAATACGGTTCTGGAGAGGTCCGTTTTATATATTTTGAGTAACGGTAATAATAATTCATCGCGAAAATCTAACAATCATAACTTATATTTTGAGCCCCTTGCGATACAAATGACCTATATCTAGTTTTGACAAAAATCAGCACTGGTTCCTGTGTCCCCCCCCCCCTACTTCTTTTGGGACCAGAGTGTTGAATTCCTGTTTAAATTACTTTTAATCTTCTGATGACCCAGATACAAGTCCCCTGTTTTTCTTTTTGCTATTTCCATTCTGAGCAAATTCTGCTGAAGTTCCATAAATGGAATTACTTTTAGTTATTATGAATTCCAAACACGATTACTCTTGATGAAGAAGTAGGTGGTCAGTTTAGCAGTGCCTTAGATCTTGAGGGGTTCATCCAAATGTTTGAAGTTGGTGTTGCTTTTGTTTGCTGCAATCTTGCATGTTGTTGGAATGCCAGCATCAAGTTGATTAAACCTTGTATTCAAAGGATTTAACTGACGATGATGTTTTATATTTTTACATTTATGTCTCTTTATTTTAGATGCTACCTGTGGCGGCAAATGATGTTGCTTTCTCCGCCCATGCTGTGCTATTGACTGCAGTTACCTTGTTCCAAATTCTAATCTACGACGTAAGCAGTGGGGTTTATTATGGTTCCTTTTGCTTTGTTGGTTAAAATCCGAATTGCCCTGAACACGGTAACTTATCCATGCAGCGTGGAACTCAGAAAATCTCCAAACTTGCCATTGGAATTGTCTCTGTAGTATGGCTTACTGCTGCAGTTTGTTTCTTCTTGGCTTTGCCTACGCGCTCCTGGCTTTGGCTTCTCACTGTATTCAAGTATGTTGATGCTGCTTTATGATTATTTGGCATCTGTTGGTTTTTATGCAGAAACTTCATTTTCCACTCTTTAAGCACTTGATTCAACACTGCGAATCCTTACATACCAAGTAAACAGGGACCTAACTATGTTAAAGACCCCCCCCCCCCCGTATTTTTTTGCCGTATTTAAATATGGCTCCTTTGTGCAATCTTGAGATCATTGTAACTTATCTTCTACTGACATGCTCTATTGGCCCATCATGAGGGTGTTTTTTTCCCCCCTCCCTTCCCAATTTTGGTCTCGGTCTTTATATGGTAAGTCTGCACGTTACTTACTGGGCATCAGGTCGGTTCTGTGGTAGGGTAGACTTAATGATTTATGATGACCTTGGACATATGGAAACATTGCCATGCTCTTATTTTGAAGTTTGAATGTCGATTTATTTTTTCTTTTGCCATTCATATGATGATTTACTGAGAGCATGGAGTGTTCCTCGAAAGATGATTATGATAAAAGGATTATTACTATTAGCATGTCTGGGATATATTTTATAAGCAGGGGCCTGACTCAAGTCTCAAAGGATTACTACTACTTCTTTTTTAATTGTTTTTTCCCTGAAATTTTCTCATTCTCCACCCTCCACTGAAGGGGTGTTCGGATTATAACTAAAAAATGAAATTGAAATTAATTTTATATTAAAAATTAAATCGCTCATAAAATTAATTTATTACACGAGATATATCGAGAAAAACAATGCTAGAAAATTAATCGATATTGATAAAAAACAAAAAATATACAAGCGCTGACTATATTAACATTGTCGTAATTTATTCTTGTATTTCCCGTCACTCTGCTGCACTCTCTTCCATCAGTTTTTTGGGTTGTGGACTGATTTCTTCCGTGTTAACTGTTAAACTAGTACCTCTTGCTCTGTTTTGTGCCCTCTTTCTCTCTGCGTTAACTTTCTCTTGCTTGTTTATGTTGCAGCACGATTCAAGTATGTATGACAATTCTAAAATATATTCCTCAGGTCAGAATCTAAGAAGAATTAATTAGAATTTGAATTCCTTTCGTCAATTTATCTATCCATATCTCATGTTAATAAATTGTGTTATGGGTATAGGCAATCATGAACTTCATGAGAAAAAGTACGGACGGCTTCAGCATTTCTAACATTCTACTCGATCTTTCTGGAGGCATGGCAAACTACGGGCAGATGGTTGTGCAGTCCATGGATCAAGGTCAGTGACTGATCTCCTCTCCTTTGTTGAAATGTCCTTTCATATTAACATGCTGTGAATTAATGTTGTATTATTTCCAGGTTCCTGGAACAACTTCTATGGGAACATAGGAAAAATGATGTTGTCTCTGGTATGGGATTTGTTAGGAACTCATTTACTCTTTTGCTTCTTTCTTAACTACATTGTAACTCATGTAGATTGTTTTGAATGGTACTTGGCGTTGCAGGTGACTGTATTCTTTGACACATTTTTCATCTGTCAGCATTTCGTTTTGTACCCTGCCAAGAAAACTTACAAAACTGTGGCGGATCCTGAGAAATCTGAGGAGGAAATCAAAGTGCATCTCATGCAGTGTTCCGATGAACCGCCGGTGGTGGCGAATGTATAGAGCTTGGTATACTGGAGAATTGTTTGTGCAAAGCCTTCCATTGGAAATCCAGGATGGTTGTTTACATTATTATTCCATACAACAGCAGAAACATCAATTTGGGTCTGCTAGTTATTGAATGAATGGTGTATATTTTTAAAAGAATGATCCCTATTCCTCATAGTATGAATGCTGTATATTTTCAAGCATCATCCCCCGTGATTGTTACAGTGTTTGTATCATAATGCATCACTATCGACCAAATGAAATGGTTATTCTTTTGTTGTCCTTCCTCTTCTTCTACTTCTCTTGCTTGCCTTCTTTCTTACGGCTCTGAGATGTTAGGTTACTGGCTTTAGCCTTGGCCCTCTCTCTATCCCAGTTCTTTTTTTTTTACTCTCGATGTGCCGTCCCTATCAGGCAGTGACATGATCAATGTCAACATCATTCACAAGTAGTAGTAGATAAGAACTCTATCCGCATTTATTAAAATATAATAATTCACTCGTCTTCTCAAAGCGCTGATTAACATGACTCACTATTTTGATCCCTTGGTTGTAGTAAAGAAATAGAGGAAAAAAATTAAACCTCCTGGGTAAAATAAAAAAGGTCATTTACCCAAGTGCATTTTATTTTCATGGTATTTATGATAGGATAAGATTTATATATTTAATATATTTATATCTAATTAAATCAAGATAAGTAAGTTTTATTGTATTAATAATAAAAATTTGTTATGGAATAAATAATTTATAAAAACTTCACATATCTTATTTTAATTTAATTAAAAACAAGTAACAAATGCTATACTTATCATAACAACTATGTAAATCATCTATGAAAATTTGTTAAGCATATAAGTTTTTATCTAAAATCTCTTAGATATTATAAAAAAAATATTGAGAAAGGAATGTGCTTGTCATAATCAGTACTAAAAAATGCCGTACTTATTCAAAAACTTTATCCATTTTATATTGTATTAGTAGCTATCACAGAAAAGATTAAAAGAAACACCTCACTGGAACCGGGAACCGGCACACCATAGAGAATTGATTAAAAAAATAAACAAGTCAAGGAAGGGACGGCACCACTGTAATTTTTGCATAAGGGGGCATGCAACGATTCATGACTAGTCAAATTCAAATTTGTGGATGATTCATTAATTAGCTAACGGCCGTACTGTAGACCTTAGAGCATCCTTAGTGGATGCATATATACTACTTCTAATTCTATTTATGAGATGGATAAAAACTTTTTTTAATCATATTTATACTCTTTCTGGTTGCATTTTTATGACAGAGAAAATATTTTTTTAATTCTATTTATCAATTACCCTATTAAATTTTCAGTACAATTTTTTTTTTTTATCCTTAGTTGAATGTTATAAAAAGATATATTATTAAAACATGAATATTTAATAAGAATAAAATTAAAGTAAGTCACATCAATAAATTTTCCTTTTACCCCATTGAATGTTGAAGATAGAAAATGTATTGTTAAAATATGAGAAAAATTTAAGAACTTATTAATTTTTTAAATAAAATTAGTGAGCTTTAAATTTTTTTTATAAAATATATTAATAATGGCTTATAAATAGAGTTACAGAAATAATGTCCTGTCAAAGCTAAATCTGCATTTCCAATAAATTCCCTGTCGCTTTATAAAATTATAGAGAGGGCCTACAATGGAATGGCAAACTTTTCCTGAATCTTACCCTTAATTCGTCAAGCTTCTCTTTAAGCCTACTGGCAAGTCCAAGCACTCACAAGCTCAAATTCTCTAGGATTGTTTGGGTTTGGAAAGCTCGCCTTGCCTCTTGGAGGGTTGTTGCTGCCTAATTCGATTTCACTCTATTTGGGCTATTTGTCACTCGGATGTCGAATCATCTTTCTGTGGGACGGCTCCGAAGACAAAGGTGATGAGGAGGTTGCTGTTGATTATATTGTGAGTCTAAATGATTCCTATTCTTTTGTGGACTTGTTTCGTGGTGGTGATGGTGTTGGAAATAGTTGTCATGATGATGAAAATGATGAGACTTTCATTTAATCATTTTTATCTTCCTAAACCCTTAAGTAATAAGTTTTGTTTAAAAATTGATAATATGTCATTATGTTATTATGTTAAAATAATTTTATATTTAGTTTATTACTTATATATTTCTTTTTTGCCATTTGTCATTAAAGGACTCGGTGGTCATTAAGCCACTAAGTTTTTTATGTGGTCAAGAGTTATGGGATCAAATTCTCTCTTAATCATCTAAAAAGTTTATTTTTTAAATAAAATATCATTGGTGTCAGAGTTTGGATGACCTCACCGGTAGCAGGGGCTTCGATGACCTCATCTTCGCTTGGTGTTGGCAATGATGGGGTTTTTTTTTTGTTTTTAACTACTTGAGAGGCATTTCAATCTTTTTGTTTATGTAATTAACGTGTCAAAAGCACCAGAAAATTTTAAAGCTATTTTAGAATTATTTAATTTTTGTGAGATATAAATTTTATTTAGCGGTCATTGGATGCTATTTTTTCTCAATCTTATTTATAAGCACTTGACAATTTTCAATGCCTTTTTTTATATTTTTTATTAAATATTTCAAATAAAAATATTAGTAGTGAGATTTAAAAATATTTATTAAAAATAAAGATAATTTTTTTAAATGTTAACATGAAATTAATAAAGTTTAAGGTGTTTTTAATCTTAATAAAATAAGTTAAAGGTAATTTATAAATATGAATGAAGGGAGTATGAATTTGCACTAAGTCGCCTGCGGTGGTTAAGTTAGGACTCGAATTCCTCATTTCAAGCATACAAAACGTCGCGCTAATGACGTGTCGTTTTGAGTTCACCTAGCCTAGTCCTAGTCGCCCAGCATTTTGTTTTCGATGGTTCACCAGACGTGCCAAACACGCTGAGATTGTGTCGCAACGTGTCAATTCATTTTTGAATGGATTGATTAAAGTAATTTTTCAAAGTCCGCGTCGGACAAAACGCCAATCGCCCCCGCAATGCTATAATAGAATAATACCAAGCACATTCTTGTGAATGACAACTGTCATTTTTAAATACTTTAATTTTATAAATTTATGAATGTGATTTAATTTTACTATTTCTTTATTTTGATAACTTCCTGTTACTCCTTTTATCTTATTTACAAAAAAATTTAATCTTATTTATAAAATATTTATTAATTTTTAATATTTATCTTTACGTTTTTTCTCTTATTAAATACTTTAAATAAAAGTATCGTTAATATAATGTAAGAATATTTATTAAAGATAAGTATAAAAATTTATTAAATTTTAAAATAAAGTTAATAAAATATAATATTTTTTTTTAGTAAAACATATTAAAAATAATTTATAAATAAGACTAAAGTAGCATTATGCAAGCCCCTCACATCTCCACAAATAAAAGATCCCATTTAAATAAAGAAGCACCAAACTACTTCCTCAAATTAATAATGGAGAATGATTGGGATGCCTCAAACCTTTTTTTTTTTTTTGGGGGGGGGGTATCAGGCACTTTCTTTTGTTTTTTGTTTTTTATGAAAATCAGGAACGTTGTTGATACGGCATGAGAGTAGCTGAAGATTGAAGAGTACCGTTGCGTGGCTCATTAAAAATGGGGTCATCATCTTCTGTCTTTTGGGACTCTGACTGATAGGTGGCGACAACGTTTAGTGGAGTTTGCTGAAGGCCCTTGTTGTGTCTTTGTCAGTGCCAACTGCCAAGCAAGGCATTCAACACATACCTAAATAGGAAAGCAAGCCGTGCACGTGAGCACCAAGTCCTGAACTGAGTCGACGGAGATTTATACCAGAGACATTCTTCCGCTTCTTCTCCGGCGAGGAGGGGGAAAGAGCAGCGCCGGATATGGCTTCCTGTAATTCTGGTCCGCTTTTGCCTGCTGCTCTATCAGTTTCTGTTTTCACGTCTGGTTCTTCTCTATGCGGCATGCGCTTAATTATAATTAAGCGCATGCGTAGTTTCTGTTTTTAAAAATAGTTTTTTAAAACAAAAGTAAAAAAATTAAAAATTTGTTTGAATAAATATTTTGAATCTAATTATTTTTAAATTTTTTTATTTTTTATTTTTCAAAATAAAAAACATCTTAAAAGTTGTTTTTGTTTTTTTAAATACATTATGTTTTATTATTAAAAATTACAGTTATCTTAATCAATTACTATTATAAATCATAATATCAGCTAATTTTTTTAATTTAATTTTTTTGAAATAATGTAATCAAATATTTTTTTGTTTTGTTTTAAAAAATTTAAAAAATTACATTGCAAAACAGATTTTAAAAATAAAAAATGAAAACAGTAACTGAACTGGCACTAAGTGCCTGTTTTGTTTCTGTTTTCATTCTTTATTTTTAAAAATTATTTTATAATATAGTTTTTTAAAATAAAAATTGATTTGGTTGTGCAATTTAAAAGCAGTTTTAAAATGAACTGGTGGTGATGATTATAGATAATTAATGATGGTGATTAATAATAAAAATTTGTCAAAGCAACGATAATTTTAGATAATCAATGTATTGTATTTTAAAAACAAGAAAAATAAAATGAAAATAACTTAATTTTTTTCATTTTTTTCATTTTTAAAAATAAAGAATAAAACCAGTTTTAAAAACAACCAAATAAAAAACACTTATCCAAAGAAATTTTAAATTTTTTTGCTTTTAAAAATAAAAAACAGTTTTTAAAAACCAAAACAAACATGCCTTAATTCTCTTGGGTTGGTTTTCTCAGCTTATTATCCACAATGCTTCCATGTACTTCAGTTCCGCTGTCTGGCAGCAATATTTTGAGGAATACGGTTCTGGAGATGTCATTTCTATATATTTTGATCTGAGTTCTTGAATTGAATACAGAATCCACATTGAGTAATAATAAAGTTATGTGAGGTTAGAAAGCAGGAATCCTAATTATCATTAATATAATGAATTTAAAATTTAGAACAAGTATCTTAGCTTAATTTTTAGATCCCGTGTGAAACTTTGCATGAATGTTGATCTAAAATGAAATAAAATTGTTACATGAAATGGCTGAATTACTCTTCTGCAAAAGAAAGAGAAAATGCAATTGTTATATTAATAGTGTAACTTTATTTGTTAGTTATATAATAAGACTTATAAATTACTTAATTATCTAATAAGACTTTATTTGTGCATTAATCCATGACTTCCTAAGAGACTTGTTCAATCTATTAATACCTCACAATATCACTTATTAATTTCCTATATCAAGCACATTAATTTCTTAGATTTACTTGTTATTATGCTTTATA